AACAAGAAATGCGATAATAGTCAGAAACATAACATCGATGAGCTCAAGAGTGTGCCATAACATCATCATAATCAATCATCAATACAACCAACACCCATTCTATGTACATGTTCTTTAAATGTCTTTGGTTGTAGACCTTTAGTTACCGGATCAACAATTCATAATATCCGTTCTAATATGTTCGATGCACACTCTTTGTTTATGAACTTCCTCCTTAACGGCAAAATACTTTAATTCCATGTGTTTTGTACCCTTGGAATATTTGTCGTTCTTGCAGAAGAAAACTGTTACGGGAATTATCACAATACATTTTCAGCGGCTTGGTGATGGTGTCGACAACCCCAAGTCCCGAAATAAAGTTCCGCAGCCATAATGCATGAATTGTAGCCTCATAACAAGCTACAAATTCAGCCTCCATAGTAGATGCAGCTATGACAGTCTGTTTGACACTTTCCCATGATATTGCTCCTTCGGCAAGGAGAAACACATAGCCAAACATTTACTTGGGACTGTCAAGGCACCCAACAGAATCTGAATCGGAATATCCAATCACCTCAAGGTGATCAGATTTCCTAAGCGTAAGCATATGATCCTTCGTCCCTTGAAGGATATAATCAATATATAGAAACAAAAATGTAAATTTACTCCCACTGATCTTCTGGTAAATACACTGATCAACGGTGTTTTCTTGAAAACCAAAAAACGTGATGGTGTCATAACTTAAAATACCATGTCTGGAAGCTTGTTTAAGTCTATGTATTGACTTCTTAAGTTTACACACCATGTGACCCTTTCCTTCTATAGAAAAACCTTTGGGTTGATCCATATAAACTTCCTCATCTAAGTCTCCATTAGGAAATGTTGTTTTCACATCCATTTGATGTAACTCTAAATCATACTGAGCTACTAAAGCCGTAAAGATCCTTAAAGAATCCTCTTAGAAATAGGTGAAAAGTCTCTTTATAATCAATGTCATCTTTCTGAGTATAACCCTTGGCAACAAGTCTAGCTTTATGTCGTTCGATATTGCCACTCGAGTCATGTTTGGTCTTAAAGACCCATTTACACCCAACTCGTTTTGAACTTTATGGCAATTCTACAAGATCCCAAACATTGTTTTTTTAGCCATAGAGTTTAACTCTTCTTTCATAGCATTAATCCATTTATGAGACTCGTCACTATTAATGGGTTGTGAAAACGAAACAAGATCTTCATCAATGCTAGTATCATAATCCAACTCTTGCAAATAAACTACATAATCATCCGAAATAGCAGATCTTCTCACCCTTGTAGGTTTGCTTAATGCTATTCCACGTGGTTCATTTATATTAGTTGGTGGCAAGTTAGTCTCTTCATGGGGTACTCCATCATCTAAATTTTGTCTACCATTATTTTGTTCTGGTGGTTGTGGAACAATATTTGGAACAACTGTGGATATTGGAACATTAATGGGTAATGGAACATCAACCCTATTTTATTCATTTCCACAGTCTCTTTAGCACTCTCACTAACTTCACCATTTTCAATAAATTTAGCATTGCTCGTTCAACTATTCTAGAACTATGATTAGGACAGTAAAACATATACCCTTTGGACTTCTCTGGGTAACCAATAAAGTAACCACTCACAGTTTGAGAATCCAATTTCTTTTCATGTGGGTTGTACACTCGTGCTTCTGCTGGACAACCCCAAACATGCAGGTGTCTCAAACTAGGATTCCTTCCAGTCTATAACTCAAAAGGAGTTTTAGGAACTGCCATACTAGGAACCCTATTTAGCAGATACACGGCAGTCTTAAGTGCATACATCCACAAAGATTTGGGTAATGATGTATTACTTATCATACTCCTAACCATATCAATTAATGTTCATTTTGCCTTTCCACTACACCGTTTTGTTGAGGTGTGCCTGGCATAGTATACTGTGCACATATGTCATGTCTTTCGAGGAACTTAGCAAATGGACCGGGATTTTATCCTGATTCATCATACCTTCCATAGTATTCACCACATCTATCAGACCTTACTATGTTCACCTTTCTGTCTAACTACC